TTTTTAGTAGAGATGGGGTTTCACTATGTTAGCCAGGATGCTCTCAAGCTCCTGACCTCATGATCCACCTGCCTCAGCCTCCCAAAGTACTGGGATTACAGGCTTGAGCCACCGTGCCCAGCCCAGAATATTATTATCTTAATCACCAAATACTAAAGTCATAGAATCAGACTAGATCTTAGCAAGACCTGATCCACTACAATAATCAGAGCAAAATAACTCATCAGTTAGAAGCAAAGGATTAGATATATACATAGCAACATGGATAGACCTTAAAAATACAGTGCTTAATGAAAACAGGAAGAAAAATGCATTCATTTCACAAAAAACAATACACATTTTGCAGGAAAACATACAAATGAAAAGATACACACTAAAGACATTAGAATGGTTGCCTGACGGGGAGGGAGGAAGTTGAAGAGGAGAGGAATATGGGGATAAAATGGCTAAACAAACGAACAAGATAGGAGCTCTGCATAGGCCAATGATGATAATGTACCATAAGCAGAGTCTGTAATTAACTCTGTACTCAAGGTCCAAACTGGTGTGTGGGGGAGAAGAGGAGAGCAGACCTTATGAAAATATAGTCTAACATGTTAATTCTCCTCCTTACTATCTTAGATTATAAATCCAGGGGCCATAGTACTATCCTTTATTTTTTCAATTCAGTGCATAATACAAATAATTTTCACAGAGGAATGCAATAAACACTTAATTATGATAACAAAGGTGCCAGTATATTATTCTTTTTGCCTACCCCAAAATGCTTTCTGTGTACATTCCATTTTAACCTTGTTCAGTTCACAGTGCAGAGAAAACTAGAATATTCTGAAGAATCAAACTTACCTTCAAAGTTTTCATTTATGACTCCACTGGTGTTTGCTTCATCTCTGCACTGATAAATGCTATTTAAGAAAAAATTTCTGAATAACTGAAGTTGGTCCTGAATTCTATGAAAAGTAGGCCTTTGGTCAGGTTCTTGAGCCCAGCATTGGGTCATTAAATTCCACCTAAATATGTGGGGAAAGATGGGAAAGTAAATAGAAATTGGATATAATTACTGATAACCCAGGTAGGGTCATTTTAGAAAGGAAAGAATCCAAGTTATTGCCAGTTTTCCTTAATTAATATAAACGAATCATAACAAAGGCTTTGGTTTCTTATTTAAGAGTGGCTTTTAACACCACTACGTTTATTAGACAACATCTTTCTTTTGAAAAGGTGACATTATTTTAACAGTTATTATTCCAAATAAATAGATGGATAAGTAGATGGTGGCAAAATGTCTACTCAACACTCAACTACTCAAGGTGAAGGTCTCATGTGAAGGTGATCTGGCTTCATCCTTGCCACCCACTGATCACCAGAGTTGATTCAGCTGATGTCTGGCTATACAGGTATCCCCTTCCTCCAGTGTTCCATATGTAACCCTCCTCAAGTTGAAAACTTGGTTGAAGAGGATGACCTTCCTTGATAGAAGAGGACCATTCTTTAATCAAGGGTGTTTAAGTAGCTCTTTAAGCTTTCAAGGTAAAGGTCTCACCTGCACTGTCAGTCTTATAGTCAATCATAATGTATCAACACATAAAGAAACTAATAGCTATAAAAATTGTTGAAAGGCAAAATTCATCATGCCTCAACTCATATAAGCAGAAAAATTGTAAGTATTTTATATTGTTTATAATTAACTAGGTCTTTCTCAGAGTCCCTACCTAGCATAAGAAAAGAAACTTCATTTAGTACAATGTTGTTTATAACTTACTCTCACTATTTTAAACAATCTTTTTAAGTATTATTCAGTCTTTTCTGGATAATAACCCAACCTCTCTTATTTTCAGGCCATCCCCACTCCTTCTGCTTTCCTTTCTAAGGTAGTGTCAGGATATATGTTGGGTACGAGGTTTATGTGACTTGTAGAGGCATGGTGAAGAATCCTTTGAACCCCACTGTGCCCTCCAGATCTTTACTAGTCTCAGTGACTAATCCAGAATTCATTAAGGAGTAACTGATCTGACCCAGCCTAGGCATCAGCCCCTGTTGGCAATCTGTGAATTCTTTACGTATTCTTTTGACGTTCCCCCACTAAAGTGGTCCACCCTTGTCTCTCTCTAGCTGTAGGATTCTCAGATGCTATGAAGCCCTATACATGCTCTCAAGGCCCAGGGAATCCATTCTTGTTTCTGCTGTAGGCCCACAGGGAGGTACTTGGCAGAATCTCTAGCTCTCAACAAAATGTTCACCCAATATAGGAAACAAAGGAAGTTTGGAAGCATAAGCTAGACACTTCTGTCTGGACAAGTCATTCTACCTTCTCGACAATGCTGAGTCTCCCATGTCAAAGTGAAGGTCCTCCACTCAATGATCTATTTGTAATTCTCCCGAACTAGGGGTGAGTGAGCAGTTGGTTTTGGTGGCACCCATCTCTTCTAATTGAAGCCTACAGAGGAGGTTGCCAAACCCAGATATCCAGTATCTCACCTTCCCACCTCTATCAAGTTCTCTTCTTTCTTCACTTCCTCAGGGCTTGGAAGGAATGAGGGCTCTACTCACTACCTTTTTTAATTTGACTATCCTTATATAAAATTATATGTTTTTATAGAGACAATTAAAACCTAGTACTTAAAAAGGAGCTAAAGGACTTTAGATGCTCTCTATATTCCAAACCTGGTTTTCAAGCCTACTGACTTCTTATAAACAAGTACTTGCTCTCTTTTTTTTCTGGAGCTATATGGCAGATCGGATCAGGGAGAGAGAAGTGATAAAGAAACAGATTAGGAGGTACTTAAAGTATTAGTACTAGTATATGAATAAATATACTCTTATAAATTATAAGTTCTTTGCAAAGTAATAAAGAAAACAAACACGAGTTCTAACAGACATGAAACAGTTTTGGAAAGTTGCTTACAGAAGGTCCCTCTGCAGAGGTGACATTTAAGCCAAAGAACTTTGTAAGAAAATAAGATACTAGTCATGGGAATAGGGTGTGGATGGGAGTCAGGGAACACACTACAAGTGGGGAAAGCATGTGTAAAGTCCTAAATTTGGAAAGAGCTTGGCACATTTTAGTACCTGAAAGAAAGCCAGTGTCGCCGAAGTGCAATCATTGAGGGGAAAGGATGAGATGAGATCAGAGGAGGGAAGCGAGATCATGCAGGTCTCACAGGGCAGGCAAAGATTTGGGTTTTACAACACTACAAGGGGAAGCTTTTCAAGATTTTTAAGCAAACATAATCTTTACATTTTTAAAGGATTACTCTAGCAGATATGTGGACAATAAATTATAAAGGGGCAGGTTGGAAGCTATTAAAGAAGACTAGATGAGAGATAATGATGGTATGGACTGAGGTAATGCCTGTGGAGCTAGAACAAGATTATAATCACTAGGTAACGATGGCCCAGAAATCATTATAGGTATTGTATTTAAAATAGCTAGTATCCATTTGGGGAATTATAATGTAATCTCCATTCCATTATAATGTGGCAAGCAAACTCCACTTCATTTATTTCATTTCCTGACAAGCACCTCAGGTCAGAGTTGGTACTCCATATCAGAATAAATGATATGAGGAAACACTAATATGGGACTGTTTCAATGTATTGATCTGATGACTTTACATGTATTTCAAGGAATTTACATACCGGGTATACAGTGCCAAGCTTGGCTCTATATTTTAAAATTAGAATCATATCTGAGAAATAACCAAAAGACAACCTAATCTTTTACATATTTCTCTATAACCCGTGCCATTTAGAAATGGGGATGATACAAAGATGTCAATGAAGAATCATTAGACTTCTAAATGTGATATTATAATCAATGTCAGATCACAGAATTTAAAAAATAGAGTTTTGATGATTAATCTAAGAGTTGTCCTCAGAGTATAGAAGAAAAATGAAGAATTATAATTATCCATAGGAAGCATTTTATTTTTGAAAATAAAGTTGTGATTCAAAAATATTGCCAAGGCATAGATGGAATCTCTCAAGGTTGGTCATATTTCAGTTAGGAGGTTTTTACAGTTGTCCCTCCTTATCAGTTTTGCTTTTTATGGTTTCAGTTAGTTGAGGTTAACCATGGTCCAAAAATATTAAATGGAAAATTCCAGAACTGAACAGTTCATAAGTTTTAAATTGCATGCCATTCTGAGTAGTGTAATGAAACATGAAATTGAGACATGAAACTATCCCTTTGTCCAGCATATCTATGCTGTATATGTTACCTACCCATTAGTTGACTAAGCTGTCAGATCAAGAAAACATAGTGTATATAAGGTTGGGTACTGATATGATTTGGCTCTGTGTCCCCACCCAAATCTCATGAAGAATTGTATCAGCAGTGTTGGAGGAGGGGCCTGGTGGGAGATGATTGAATCATGGGGGCAGATTTCCACCTTGCTGCTTTGGTGATAGAGTTCTTATGAGATCTGGTTGTTTAAAAAGTGTGTAGCACCTCCTTCTTTCTTACTTTTGCTCCCTCTCTTCCTCCTGTTCTGGCCATGGAAAGACTATGCCTGCTTCCCCTTCACCCTCTGCTATGATTGTAAGCTTCCTGAGGCCTCCCGAGCCGTGCTTCCTGCAGAGCCTGTGGAACCATGAGCCAATTAAACCTCTTATAAATTACCCAGTTCTCTTTATAAATTACCTAGTTTCTTTGTAAATTACCAGTTCCTGATAGTAGTGTGAGAATGAACTAATACAGGTATTATTCTTGGTTTCAGGTATCCACTGGGGGCCTTGGAACATATCCCCCACAAAAAAAAAAAAGGCCATTGCCATACTTATTTATAACCTGATTTATTATGCAAAAAATCAAGATACTTAGTGAGATTATTTCGAAGGAGAGAAAGAAAAGGAAGAAGGAAGAGGAGGCCAGGGAAGAGGAAGGCAGGGGGAAAAAGAAACCATCCTTACAGCTGCCACTTAGCCACTTGCACATCACCCACTCATTCCACCTCCAAAAGTTCAGCCTCTTGTTTAATCTGTGAAATCCACTTAAGCAGAAATTCCTCTTTTTTTCATTTATGGAGGTTTTAATTTACATTTAATCCAATCATTACTCTGTACTTAATTTTCTGATGACAAACACATTTGGCCTGTTAATATATAAAACCTTCCTGTTCCACCATGCAGGGACAAATGAGGACTAACAAAAGAGGAGCTATGTAAAGCAATAGTCATCTAAAAGTAAAGAATAAAACTTGTGTTCTCAAACAGCAATGAATTGGCAATGGAATGAAATGAAGAGGCTTTTAATAATCCTAAATGTATTTCTTATATCTTGTAAGTAATTTAACAATGAAAACTATAGCCTTGGCATAGAGGATCTTCCCTTACAAATATGTCCTTGTCACCATTCTATATCATGCAGTGTATACTTGCACCAAGTTATAGCTACAAATATTCAAACATATTACTCTAAACAAATTTGCAGGTCCTTCAAGTTTGTTAAAATTCACCTGGGCTGGTTGTTTTGGCTCCAGAAAAATACTCATTATACTTGAAGTATCTCATTTGGCTAAGTAGAGGTTCCAATTCCTCCACTCACCATGCAAACCCTTTACAACTCTTTTCCTCAAGTTTGTTTGTTTGTTTGTTTGTTTTTTTCAAAATAGCACAGGACTCATTAGCTATATCCAGTGTTAGCCTCTATGAATATTGAAGACTTCAAATTCACAAAGCAGTTGAAGTTCAATACATGAAAACGTCATAGTATTTTTCAGTATTAAAGGGAAAAGTTTCTACAGTTATTTAAACAAAGTACATAAAATATAGACTTCAAAATTTTCCTTACTCATTATACCTAATCCTGGAGAGATCCAATTAGTATCCAGATGTACACAGTTCTTAAGATGTAAAAATAACATGGTGAACCCCTGTGTTCTCCCACGGTTGCCCTCCTACACCTGAGGGACTCTCCAGTAATTCCAGTTGCTACTGTGATATATCTATTATAAAACCCCAAAAAAGCTCTCACTTGAAGTAGATTGCCCTTTGATCCCATTTCTTCTCAGGAGTTGTGTGGTTGTTGTGCAAACTAAAAACTGAAGAGAATCCTGATGGCTGGGCTTTCTATCATACATCCCAGGATAGGAAGAGAAGGGTAGGAATGCTCTGAATCTGGCATTCCATTAATAGCTGAGTACAGCACAGCTATCTATGGGCTCCCCTGACCTAGAGTGCATCCAGGTGCTGAGTATTTAAGCAGTAAATGGAAGGTGCAGCAGGGCTCAGTGCAGACTTTCAACCCCCTAAGCTGGGCCTGTGATCTCAGAAAACTGTCTCAAATAAATATCAGTTCCCTCTGTACTCTAAGGAGAGTAGTTAATCTTTATCATGACAACTTAAGGCCATGGCCAGATTGAATGGTATTGCTGAGATCTCCATTTCCTAGCCCAGCTTGTTTTCCTGGTTGGCAATAGATCTTTAACCCTTCCCAGGGCTTGTTAGAGTCCTGCGGCACTTGGAGGGCTTGATGCAGGGCTTGTTTGTATTAATGATGTTCAAATGAACTTCAAAACCAGAAAATGAAAATTTAAAATTTTCATTTCAAATGAACTATATTTTTATTAAAACAATGGCAATTCAATCAATAAATTATTCAACATACTACATTTTCCCACTCATAATCAGGAATACTTTTGTAGCGCTCCTCCTTCCTCCTTCTAGTTGCATTTTTTATACCTTTAGCTAAAGTTCAACTTGCCTACATTTTTCTGCTCCACAATACAGCAATTTGTTATTAACTTCCCTGCCCCGAACAAAACAATCAAACACATCAGTCAAAACTGATAGTTTAGTGATCAATTTCTAAGCTGCCTATCCAAAAATATTGCATGATTGTGATGAGGCACGTTAACCCTTGGGGAGAGAGTGGAATAAGTGATTAGTTTGTAAATATTTAGTTAAAATTTATTTTGTATTTAGGTATCCCGGGCTTTTTTCTTAAGCCCTACATGCAAGGTTTTCAAATTTTGTATCATTTCTTATCCTTAATTTATATAATTTTCACCATTTCTCCCCAAAATGATTATGAATCATTTTTTATGCACTATTATCTAATTTGGTCAGATGTGTGTGTATCTGATCTCCCTGTAAATATCCCAGAGATTATTAAGCTAAATCAGAAACAAGTAGTGATTCCAATCTTCTTCAAGCTGGAAGATTTGAATAATACAAAAATATGCACCAGTAGAACATCTAACCAAGGTGCCCAGCTCTTAATCATCTTTTGGCTCAAGTCTGCATAATCCTCTAAATAACACAGCATAGTCAAGGCAGTACAACCATGGTGTGCATCCGCATACTGCTAATTCCTTTTGCACTTGCCTGTACCACACAGTTTAGCACTTTATTACATGTTGGCTTGGCATCCAGCTGCTCCGTGTGGGTGTCTTTTCATTCAAAACACATTCTGAGATGCTGAAGAGCTGTGTCCCTGGTTTAAACACCTCTGTAATCCATACAATCCTTGGCATGTTATGGTGCACATAGAGAGTTCATACTTACTTGCTCTTTTAGAAACTTCTTGGGTAACACAATTCTTGGAAAAAGTTGTCAAGACTTAAATTTCTGCTGAGACTTTCCACAAGGAGGCAGATTAATACTCAGAATAAAAGCTTTTTTCCTTATAATTTGACTAAAAGTCGCTCACTCTTCTGAGAAATCACTATTAGAATTCAGTAATGACCAGGATTCGCTAAAGTTACAATATTTAGTCATTTTTTTGTTATGTTCATAAACAGATCACAACTTGTATAATTTTTAGTAACACTATTTCTTATTAGTCAATGTCAGCTATATCAACAAAGGCAATCCAACTTTTTAACAATATATTCCTATTTAGTATAATCTTTTGATATGTAGATTAAGATACTAGTCAGATCATATCTCCCAAAATAAAAGGCATACACGTGTGTATACTGTTTCTCTCTCACACACACACACACAGAGTGCTTTTGTTAGAATTCACTTACCCAGAAGTATTCAAAATTTTGTTTCTCAGTGAAATATCATTTGTATATAGAAATAAAAAGAAACCATAATGTATTCATAAATTGACACCATGAATTGATATTTTATGTGGGATATACAATGTTTAAGTTCCAGTTTTTATTTTAACAATTTAACAAACTGTATCAAGAGGCCTAAGATTGTATATGCACATGTTTTTGTTTGGGGGGTGCTTATGTTAACATAATTAACTTACAGATCATCGGGACAATTTCTTGGTGGCTCCAGTCTCCCTCCTGTTTGCACATAGTTTAAAACATCAAGGTTGGAATGAGCTGGATAAGGCTGATGACCAAGAGTTAAAATCTCCCAAATGAGAATTCCAAAAGACCTAAGAATAGTAGAGGGTTTGCTTTAATTATACTTATTACAAACACCAGGTTTACAGTAGTTTCTCCAACAACATTTTTCCTGGGGCTAGTAGGGTCTACTTTGTCAGGGTATTATTGGCCTCATAAAAGGCAAATGGGAGATATAAAAGCAGGCTGACAAGAAAAACTAGAACAAGACACTGCGTATGAGCAAATACTTCAAAGGTGATAGGAAGGCTTGGAGGAGGCACACGTGCACACACAGACAGAGACACAGACGCATATGTGTACTCACATGCATGCACATCCATGCACATATACACCTATGCACACACAGAAACAGACACACATGCACATGCATGCACACACAGAAACACGTGCACACACACATGCATGCACACATACATACACACACGTATACACACACCCATACTCTGTTTCTCTCCCTGACTGAAACCCCATTGTAGGCCTCCATTATCTAAGAATTTCAGAGCATTGACATGCAGACACACCTAAGGGTGAGCACAAAAACACTTCAGCATTTTCCTCCCAAGTTTGCAGGGGATAAAGTGCCAGTAAACATTGAGAGGGAAGGCATGAATAAAAATTGGCAGCACTGAGAAATTGTATCTCATTCGTAATTTTGCCTAGGGCCAGCCCAACTAAAAAGTCATTGAACAAACCTTTACATTTTGAGCTGGTCTCTGGTCTTCTGTTTTCTCACATTAAAAAAGCAAGATTAGATGTCCTTTTAAAATCCCCTCTAACGTTTGATGATTCTGTCAGCATTACTCTGTGTCCTGTTAAACTTACCATACATCAGATTGCGTAGTGAAGATTCCATCCATCAAACTTTCTGGAGCCATCCACCGAACAGGGAGCAGGCCTTCCCCTCTCTTTCTGTAGTAATCATTTTTATAGATGTCTCTGGCGAGTCCAAAGTCCCCAATCTTCACTATCCGTGGACTGGTATAGTCTTTCACGGAAACAAGGCAATTTCGAGCTGCCAGATCCCTATGGCAGAAGTTATATTAAATAATAATAATAACAACAATAAAGTTCCAGAAATCAAACAAGTAACCCTAGTAGGTCTGTAAAGAAGAGAAACTTTTTTTTTTTTAACTTTAAGTTCTGGAATACATGTGCTGAACGTGAACTTTATGACATAGGTATACATGTGCCATGGTGGTTGCTGCACCTATCAACCCGTCATCTAGATTTTAAGTCCTGCTTGCATTAGGTATTTCTCCTAATGCTCTCCCTTCCCTCGCCCCTGACCCCGGGCAGGCCCTGGTGTGTGATGTTCTCCTTCCTGTGTCCATGTGTTCTCATTGTTCAACTCCCACTTACGAGTGAGAACCTGCTTTGGTTTTCTGTTCCTGTGTTACTTTGCTGAGGATAATGGTTTCCAGCTTCATCCATGCTCCTGCAAAGGACACGAACTTATTCTTTTTTTATGGCTGCATAGTATTCCATGGTGTATATGTGCCACATTTGCTTTACCCAGTCTATCATTGATGGGCATTTGGGTTGGTTCCAAGTCTTTTCTATTGAAAATAGTGCTGCAATAGACATATGTGTGCATGTGTCTTTACAGTAGGATGATTTATAAGAGAGACTTTTAATAGAAATTATTCCTAGTTTGAAGGAATTAAAATGTTTAATTATCTTGTGTGCTTTACCTGCACTTCAGGTGATTATTGTGCCAATATCCATAAAAACCCTGTACCCAGAAAAGAAATGTACCTGTGAATGAAATGCATCTGTTCCAAGTAGACACAGCCTTTAGAAATATCTACACACAGGTCTACGAGGTCAACCAAGGTGAGTAAAGGACCATAAAACTGTAAGAAATGAAGGAAAAATTACAGGTAGTTTTCTAGTTTGCATGAAATATATGCATACATGTGTGAATATAAGTGGATACATGTATATGCATATACATGTATGTTTGTGATGTTTTAAAGGGATTTTTAGTTATGATTTATAAGAATTCAAACAAAGAAGAAAACATAGATGTTTTCTATGCAAATATACATTAAAAAAATGACAGCTATGTTTAGTAAGTAGAGGCAATATGGAATCTTTATTGGAAAGACCTCCAGGTGTCAGGCCAGATCGAGATGTGAATCCTAGTTCTGCTATTTACTAGTTGTGTGAACTTGCTTAAGTTACTTAACTCCCTAAGCAAATTTCTCACATGTAAAATGGGCAATAATACTGACCTTGCAAAATTCAAGTAAGTTACATGATATGGCTGATCAATAACAGGCATTTAATAAACATTTGTTGCTCTCATAAGTAGTCAAAATGATGACTTATTTAGTGCTAGCTGGTTTAATTATTGACCCAATGACACTCTGTCTTGCCAGTCATGACAATGGGCTTGTTTCCTGTATGAACCCCATATAAATTGTTAGCAATACCCTATTTCAAAGTTTCAAATTACTCCTCTCATCTAAGAGAGCGAGCACAAATATACACTTGAGCCTGTACTGGTTGCAATGATTTCTACATGGAAAAAAGCCAGTTGAAGTGTTTATTAGTACCATATTGGGAAAATTCAAAGATCCTGCCCTGAAGCTATATTATACTGTCTGTCCCTTTCCAGTGCTCTGCAATTACCCTGGTTCAAGCCTTTGTCATCCCTAATCTAATGCATTCAAAAATTTCCCATGTCTCCAGCCTCCTATGCTTTCATTAGCTTGCTTTGTTGTGACCCCCTTCCTGTAGAGTCTATTATGAATTCCTGAGCACCCCCAGGCTGCACAAGCCTCTCTACAAGTCTATTAATTTCCTACTGTTTCTCCTCTCTCAATCTGTGCTTCAGTTATACTGGTCCACTTGCAGTTCTTTATTCCTACTCTGCATTTCTCAGCCTCTCTTCTTTATTCCTGCTATGATTTTTTCCCCTGGAATGTCCTCCTGTTTCTTGATTTCCATCCACAGCCTTAGCTGAGTATCTCAAATGATTCCCAACCTCCAAGTCCCTCAATTCCTTAAAAACAAATGCTCTTAAGTGCTGTTCTCCCTACCTCCTCTGACACATTTATCTCTTGCCCCCAAACTAGGAATATTCTGATGTTCTGGGGCTCACTATTGCCGTGGTTCTTCACAGCCACACCTAGGGCTAATAACTAGGCTCTGACCTTACTCCCAAATCAATCCTTCTCCAACCTAATTCAGGTCCACTGTCTCATGGCCCATATCTGAGTCCTTGCTGGGTGTCTTGAATGGTTCACTGGTTCCTGTGAACGGAACCCTCCTCTGCTCTCAGCAAAACCTACTCTACCTGTGAAGTCTTTCTCTAGGCCTAGGATCCTACTCCTTAATTTCAGCCTGGTGGCTAGTGCCCTGTTCCCTGCTGACAGATTTTCATAATGCTTGTGCCTGCTTGGATCTCTGACTACTCTCTCCTTCTGATATACCATGTATCAACCTGTCGGGATACCGCATCACCCCATGTTGGGTTTCCTTGACTCTAGATGCCACCCTGGACTGCCACCTGTCATCTCTTGTTAAAACCTTCAGACATATTAAACTTTGATCTCAGTCTATCCCCAGTCAAAGCCTTTCGTAACTCAGTGGCAAAGCACAGTTCAGCTACTGTTCTACCTCCTGCTTTGGTTGTGTCTGAATCAGTAGACCTCTTCCATGAAGCCCTCTCAGCTTTCCTCAGTTAGGAATCGCTCCTTCCTCTGGGCTTCTACAGTATATTCTCCACTGCACTCTAATGAGTCCACCCACTTCCTACTTTAAGTGGATTATTTAGGTATCTGTAGACTTTCATCTGTAGACTTACAACTCTACCATGTAACAAGTTCCTTGAGTGCAAGAACCACATCCTTCACCATTGTATAAACACCCAGCAAAAATTTGGTGAATTGAATTTTATCTGGAAGGCAGCACGTTTACTACATATTCATATTACTTTGACAGTTTTTGTTTGTTTGTCTCACTTTTTTCTATGTTAATACAATCCTTTTAACAAAAGTTAAGGCCAGGTGTGTTATCTCACACCTGTAATCCCAGGACTTTGAGAGGCCAAGGCAGGCAGATTACTTGAGGTCAGGAGTTTGAGACCAGCCTGGCCAACATGGTGAAACCTTGTCTCTACTACAAAAAATATACAAAAATTAGCTGTGCATGGTGACGTGTGTCTGTAGTCCCAGCTACTCAGGAGGCTAAGGTAGGAGAATTACTTGAACCTGGGAGGCAGAGGTTGCAGTGAGCCGAGATCACGCCATTGTACTTCAACCTGGGCCACAGAGCAAGACTCTGCCAAAAAAAAAAAAAAAGTTAAAAGGAACCTTAGGAAGTTTTTGATTCAAAATTTCATTTTGTAGATAAAGAAGTTGAGTCCTCAAAGCAAAGGACTAGACTAAGCTTTCTGGGCCTAGTTGCAGTCAATTCTTAGGCATCCAACCCAACAAAACAGTCCTTGAATGCAGGGAGAGAGAGAGAAAAGCTTCTGCTGATTCTTCTGCTATGGTGCCTCTGAGCACTCCACATGGGGAGACGCTGGCCTCAAAAGAACTCAGCATGAGCGGGAGTAGCATTTGTGATGGTTCCCATAGGCCTCAGGCCTTCATTCTGCCTTCAGCACCTAACGATGTCTCTATGGTTGCAGCGAAGGAGACAAAGCCCTGCAAGCTGTTTTTGGCAGCCACCAGGAAAGGCTGCGGAACAACTGAAGTGCATGTGAGAACCAATCTTTATAAGCATTAGGATCCTGCGTGAATCAAAATGATTCGGAAAAAGTAGATCCACGTTTTTTTCAGTCCATCCTTTTTCATCCTCTCTTCACTTTTCATACACTTAGCACCACCACAGAACAAGACAATCTACAAATAAAATGTATTGTTTAAGTTGAGGGATTGAATGTGTGCATTTTTAGTTCCACTCTCCCCCCAAACCTTACTAACATGGCAGTAGAGTGAAAATTTTCATAATTTCACAAGGGCAAATCAACTGTCATGAGAACTGACATGGCAGACAAAGCATTCTGGAAGAGGGAAAGCAGATGGAGGAGTGGTCATTTAGCAGAGCCAAGAGGATGAAAGCTGACTGCCTACAGAAAGAAAAGGCAGGTATGTTTTTCATCATGGAAGGTCATAAAGTCTCCAGAATGGGAGGCAGCAGGTATCCCTGAATACAGGGACAAGGGGAAGGACTGAAAGCAAAAAGAACGTTTCAGTTATGTAAGGCCTAACTAAATCATAGATTCTTCTACCACAGATGAAGGCTTCTGTCTATAGAAAACAAACAAATCAAAACAACAGAAACCTGAACCAGAACAACTCCAAGTTCGGAGATACTACCAGTCACACTGAGGCACTGTCCTGAAATGCAGAGAATTAAAGTTAAATAAGAGTCCACCTACTGAGCCTTGAGACCTCCAGCCCCCTCTAAATGCTCTGAGTTGATGCACCAGGCATTTACTGTCCAGAGGAGAAACGAGCAATTTCCTCCCTGGTTAAACTGGCATATGTCAGGGAAGAGATTCAGTTACTGACATTGGAGGACCCCCAGTGGAAGAGCAGGGTCCCACCTAACACCAAAAGGAAGCTTCCTTGGACACATAGGTTCCCATCATTTTGTTAGGCCTCATGATTAAATATGAAACCAGCCAAGAATACTAGACATTTGGGAAAGATTCTCGCATTGAATCAGATTCCAAAACAAAGAGGAACAAGGAAGCCAAGGCAATGCAGGAAGCAAATTAACACTTTTTGAAAAGTATAATTAATACCCTAAAAAAGATGAGTAAAATTTTGCATCTATGAAGAAAACCAGAATATTATTTTAAAAAGCAGTCAAAACACAGGAATAAGTATGTGAAAAATTAAAATATGTTAACAAAAAATTTTAATCCTACAAAAAGATTAGGGGACAAAGTTGAGGAAGTCTATCACAATGGAAAGCAAAATGACAAAAGCTAGAAAATAGGAGACAGCAGCTAATAGAATGAGAAGATGAAACAAAGCAGTCCATTATAACAGGATTTTTAGAACAAAGAAATAGAGGGAATAAGGAATTCTCTTCATTATCAAAGAGACAATGAAAAAAATTCCTGAAACTGAAGGGAATGATTAGCGAAGCCACTGTTACTCTGCTGTGGGTAAAGAGTACCACAGGTAAAATTCTCCTCAAATTTTTGAAGCGGAGGAGGCAAAAGCAGACCACTGATAATAAGTTCAGGAATCAGAGTGGCATAAAAATTCTTCCTGGCAATTGTAGAAGTGAGGAAAGAAAGACGTAGTGGCTTTATCTGTTAGATAAAGAGTTTTCAACCTAAAAGTCCAACCAAATTATCAATCAAGTATAAGGGAAGAATAAAGGGCATTTTCTCAAAAATTAAAAAAAAAAAAGCAGATTTTTGCTGCACATGCATACTTTCTCATACTTTCTCTTTTCTAAAACAAACAAAAAGTCATGAGATACAAGGAAAAAGCCCCACATGGACAAGAGTTGAGGAAGATTCCCAGGTCTAATATGAAGGAAACCCCTACAACAGCAGCTGTGTAGCTAGCCTAGAGCACAAGCATCTACACGGCTTCCAGGAAGGAAGTGTCCAAGAAAAAATTAAGTACCAGATTATCTGATACTGTTAAATATATTGAGAAAAGTGTTACCATTCAGTTGGGGAGTTTAAATATATAAAAACTAAAATGAAAACAAGAGATATTGATTAAACTAGCCTCAGGAAAAATACTTACAATAATAACATTTGGATAATTCAGCTCCAAAAATAATAATAATAACTAAATAGTTCTAATAATGCAAAACCAGAAGGATGATTTATCTGCAAATTGTGATAACTGTCAGAGGATGAGGCAAGCAAAGTTTTCCTGTGTGTAGCGTGGTGGGGGATGGACAGGTATATTATGAAGAAGTCTAAGAGAGTTAAATCCTCCAATTCCATACTGGGCAGTCAATTTACCCCAAATTGAAAAATCAACATGTGTCCGTATGAGCAGACTATTTAGGAACTTGGCGGTAAATACCAGAAGATATGTGCAGGCCTGAGAGGTAGGAATGAGGCAGTGCACAGGGCTCCTGTTTTTCACTATATGCTTTGTCACACATTTTAATTTTTTAGCCATATGATGTTTATTTTGATACAAAAAAAAGTTTTTAATCCACCAGATTTAAACTTTGGTGACTTGTCTTATCTCACGTGTTCTCATCTAAGGTATAAAGTAGGTTCCTGCAGGTAGTCACCCCCAGTCCTGTCCGCCATCCCACAGTATTTCCAGGGTTCATAATGTGCTATGCACTGCTCCAGGCACTGGGGATACAAGAGAAGAATGACTGCAGCTGTGTTTTGCAGGCAGAGCTTGTTAGCATGTATGTAGGGAAAGAGAAAGCAAGGAACTAGATGGGTGGAGTAGGAGAGGATGTACGAAATCAAGAGCTCTGTTTGGGGCAAAATATGTTTGAGATGCCTACTAAAATCCAAATAGATATGTCAACTAGAGAAGGACATACAAGTCTGGTACTCAGTAAAGACATTAAGACTGGAAATACAATTTGGGACAGACAGGCATATAGATTAAGTACAGAGATATGCCTTTCCAACTCCACACGATCCCTGCGCTCCAGAAAAACATGATTCTGGCAATGAGGGTCATGTTCTCCCATTAAATACTAAAAACAGGCTCGGGTTCACATGACCAGAAAATGCCAGAATGTTAGCCCACGGTTCTGATTGTCAAAATCTAACATGAAGTAAATAGCATAATTCTTTCCATATAAGTCTTCTAAGGTTTTACCACTGCAGCCTATTAAATCTAAAGAAAATTAATGGGGAATTATAGGGCATTTGCATTATGAAACCAATATTACAGATCCCAACTGCCTACCGTTGCCATCCGGGCTTTACGCAAATAAGTAAGAAGGTCTCCTCCTTCCATCAGTTCCAGGATAATATACTGGGGTTCATTCAGCAGACAAACTCCAAGCTGTTTCAGAATGTTGGGATGATTAAATTTGCTGAAAGGTGGAAAGACACAGGCTGGATGACATGACAGAGGCAGGAGTCCTAGCCAAGGGTCTTTATGGAGTACAGCAATTCTTTATCAATAGTTTCCTTCAAAACCCCTGACTTAGTGTCTCTAATGCTTCCTTTTCCAACTACTGGTCTTTGTGCTTACCTTAAGGAGGTAATATGGCAACCCCTAGTGGCCATGAGTATGGATAACATAGGTTGGTTTTTAGAAGGAATAACATTTGTATTAAGCATATTTTGGAAAAGAAAGTAATTTTGACTAGTAGCCTCCTTGAAAAGATATTTTAAAACACTGTGTTTTGGGTCATTACAGGTATGAAATATATACTCTCCCTTTCAGGAAAACAACCCAGAAACGCAGGTCTGGCTACACAGTTTTCTCAAGACATCAAACCAAGGAAGTCCCAACCTAATAATTGGAACCCACAGCTTGAGACTCAATCAACCACTGCCTCAAGTTTTCCCATTAAGATGCGCTTGAGCAGTTTTTATGACCACAGACTCAAACTTGGAGACAAGTTTACGAAGACAAAGATATTTTCACTGACATTACAGCATTTGAGAGAACTCTCTCTTACTGGATATACTTGACCATTATCACATATTTAGATGAATACAAGTGTGTCAAAAGTCAAACAGCTTCAGAATTCACTTGCAAAACATGCTCCTTACTGAAGATAAAAGAAAGGAGAACCTTTTGCCTGAGGAGTGCCTGTGCCCAGGCTCCGAAGATTGGCTTCTATAGACTACTTGCTCTGCAGATGTGGTTTCATTGAAACGTTTCAACCATGTTGTTTTAGGCATGATCTGTTACGTCAGGTCATTTTGGATGTTAAAAACAAGTCAAGCAGACTTAAAACTTCTTACCCATACCAAGAGAGAATTATTTCAGAGCTACCTCATCAGATGTGCCTCCTTCAGGAATTCAATCTTCTCCTGGTCGGTGGAACCCTTCTTCAAAGTCTGTACAACATAAAAACAAGTCAGGAATCAGTATAGCAGACATTTCTGTGAGCCTAGCGGGTTAATGGAGATTGTTGTTTGTTTTATAATATTTACCCTGAAAGTTGCAAACAGATCATAGATAAGGCATGTGCATGTATTCTATAAACCCTTCAAATGTTACCTCCTGTTATTGCTAGTAGAAGAATACGCAAAATAAAAGGTCTAGTAATGTTTATACAATGTTCCTCCAAAAGGTAGAATTTTAAGAGACCAAGTTTTGTTATTTAGGCTAATTTCTTAATTTTCAAAATTTTCTTCTCAATATGTTTTCCTTATCTCCTTGCTTTCAATTTATTTCTTGAGGGCAAAGTTCCCAGTCCCAAGCAATTGATCAAAGCTAATCATGAAAATTGTGTTCTGAAATTCTCCAGCCTCCCTTGGCAATTGGGGTGGTCACATAACTCGGTGATGGTCAATGGTATATAAGAGAAAAACTGCTAAGGCGGGGAGGGAACTTTGAAGAAGACATTTGTCTTCCTGAACATGTACATCTGGCACCATCTTTCCTCCTTTCCCTGGTCCGAATGAAGATGTGATGCTTGCTTCTTTGCCAGCCATCTTGGAACAATGAGGCAGCAAGCATGAACAACAGCCAAGAAAATTTCAGAGATACTGGCTCTGACCTGACACACTATCCTGAAGCCAGCAGTCATTTTGTTACATGACAGAAATAAACATTTGTTTAAAACAGTCAAGGTGCGAGTAAGTTAAAGAACTTTTAAATGACATCATTTGGAAGCAGAGAGAATTTTGCCAACTTTTCTAGTTGTATAGCTAACTCTCAAAGCAATAAATCTCTAATAAGCAGAGATCAGGATATTGCTCAAATACATAAAGATTCATCCTCCCTTTATCAAAAGAAAGTTTTACAAAAATATGAGTATATCCAGTGCTTCCTTAAAAATATATTAAATATACCATGATAAATAATCATGTACTCAGAGACTGACAAACTATAGCCTGTGGGCCAAATCCAGCCTGTCACCTCTTTTTGTATAGCCTATGATCTGAAAATGGCTTTTCCATTTTTAAATAGTTGAAAAAGTCAAAAGAATACTACTATTTCATGACATATGAAAATAATATAAAATTCAAATGTCAGTGTTCATAAATAAAGTTTTATTGGTACACAGCCACACTCACTTATTTACATATTGTCTATGACAATACAACGGCAGAGTCTGTATGGCCAGCAAGCCTAAAATATTTACTATCTGCCCAGTTAAGAAAAGGTTTGCTGACCCTTGGTCTAGTACCTTAAGAAAGTGTTTTACAACTCCAGTTCTCTCATGACATGTTTGAAGAAAAATTATTGTCTGATAGATCTTAGCTAATTAGTAGCCTTAGAGGTAATGCAAATCCTGGAGATTGTTGATTACAAACAGTGTTCCTATGTAGGAAATGTTTTTTAAAATTGTGATTTCTATAGCTATGGATACGCTTCGACATTCAACCTGTCCTCTTTTCAACAAAGAGCACTCAACTTTTATTATAATTATATCCACGTCAGTCCTTGTAGATATGGTGATATAATGTGTCAAGGAGTTCGAAGATTCACATTACCTTCACTGCTACTTTGATTTCTCCACTTCCAGCTCCTAAGATGTCCACTGCTGTTCCTTCATACACTTCTCCAAAGGCTCCACTTCCCAGCAAGAGCCGCAGAGTCAGTTTTTCCCGAGGGAAGGCAGGAAGATTTTCAATCTCCTCTTGGGTTGGAAGAGTACTGTAAAATAGCAACATTTTTGTCTCCCCACCCTCCACGTATATAGGGTGTACAAGTTTGTGTTGGTATTGGTATTTGTGTTTGAGAGAGAAAGAAATATCTCATGGCTTTGCAGCATTGTGTGTTTTATGTGACATGGTGATGTGGAACTTTGTGTTCCTAATTACTTTACTATTCTACCACCCTTTACCCAGACAGAGCATGATGGTCCACTTCTAGGCAACTTAATTTGGATAAAAACGTATATGTGTATGTATTGCCTCAAGACTTTTATTGTAACTTGTTGTGTCAAAGTTACTAGGTATTAACTTCTTCAGATTGCCAATTTGTGTAAAAAGCTACTGCAAATTAGTAATAAATGCATCTGGGTTTATCAGCTTTTCCTTTAGCTATTTCAAACATGTGACATCTTATGTAAAACAAAATTTACTATGACCAAAAAGATCAACCCCATCACCATAAGGTTAACTTTTAGAAAGCCAAGTTTCTCACTTGGAATACTACAAGGGGGGAAAATGCTGCTATGTTAAAAATGCTTTCCATTTATAATAGGGAATCTTGAGTAGCAGATATGTGCAGTATTTGCTCAAAGGAAAGTCACCTCTAAACAGCTGATTTAGATCCCCTTTGTGTCTACTTCAAATCCTTTGCTTTTACACCTTGCATTATAAATTTCTGAAAGCAAGGCCTATGATCATTTAATTCCTTTTTGCATAGATCCTAATATCATGAAGCTTTGCATGAGACACTTGAATATTTTCCTTAATTATGATGACAACAAAAGTTCAAAACTCACCTGTTTTAAGAAGGTTTTGTGGGCAATCATCATACAACTTCTGAAATGGAGTAAGATACTTAAGGCTGACCACATACACAAGGCTCTCAAAACTCTCCTCTCAAACACTGCCTCCAGGTCAACCAACCACGTTACCATCTATTCTCTTCAATGTAATATTTTTCTCTTTCTTTCATTTGTTTTTGAGCTACATGATAAAACACTGGAAAATAGTGTATTTTTCTGTATTTTTCTTATAACCACATAATTTGCCATCCACATTTGAGAGTGGAAGAGGAAGTTTTTGATAATTATGCCAGAAAAATGGGTATAAACCATTACTGTCCTGGGCAATGCAGAATTCATAGGTACTCTCACTGCTGTTGCCCACCCTTTGCCTAGGTGCTCCATAATGATGGCCCACGCTACGTACTGTATTGCATAGCAGGCATTAGCCAGGCCTACTCCGGCTGCCAGACCTCGCAGCTCAGCCAACTCTTTGTCTTCGTTTATAAGCACTGTCAGCCCCTCCTTGGCACTTTTTTGATTCTTTAGTCTTCTATGCCAGACTATAAAGGAAAAAAATGACATAATTTACAAAATAAAATATTGCTTCTTTTTCCCTTTAGGAAACGCTAACAATGCATTTTAAGTGTTTTTATGTAAGAACACTATCAGTAGTATAGTTATAGAAGTTTTCATAATTTGATTTTAAAATAGCTTTTAAAAAACTAATTAAATCCAGGTAAAGAGTCATATAAAAGTACACAAATCATACTACACCAGTTTTAATCTCACTTCTTAAAATTTAATGTATTTCTTACTGTTGTTATAAACAAATTAAAGTATCTTAATATTAAAACTTATTTGTCAAAATCACCCATAAACTAGAGTCAAAGTAAACCAAAACAAACATAATTATTAGTGAAACAAATTCATTTTTGAGTTCAGTCACATCCAGGTTATACTCCTCAGTAGAAAAGAAAATGCTTTCAGTATAATGGCAATTTTTCTTTTTTTTTTTTTTTTTTTTTTTTGCAGAGTACAAGAGTGTTTATCATTGTTGTTCATACACACATACTCAAATATGTAGAAAAAGTATTGGAATGAAGCTTACCAAATGTTAGCAGTGGTCTGCCCTACCTGTAGAATCATGAGTAATTTGTATTGTCTTCTTTATATAATAAGGAGTATTAGTTTTATAATAAAAGAATTTTTTAAATATTAAAATACAATTATGTGAATAAGATTGTCCATCTTTACTGAACTGTTGACTCAGAAGTTGAAAACAGCAAGCATGCTTTGAGAGATGATCATTAAAATTTGAACTTAATTTCACAGTAGTTTCTATATTCAAGAAGTTAGAGTTTTACTCACATGAAATTCAATTTGAGGGGCTACATGGTGACAGATCACAAGTACCTTTTGCTAAATTAATTTTTCAAACTTGAAATGTTCTTACCACCTCTTTTTTAGGCTTCACTTTTAAAGGCCCAATGTAAGCCCACATCCTCAATGATGCCTTCTGAAACCTCAGCAATCTCTACTAATCTTTCATATCTGAACTTGAAAGACTAATTATGCCTCTCTGTGAGTGCTTATCCTATGCACTGTCTTGTTTATTTCATCTATTATTGTCTTTCGTTATTATTTAACACATATCTTGCTATTTATCTTTCCACACAGGCATGTCTTACCTCCCTCATTAAATGGCAAGCTCCTGACGTCAGCAGTTGTATTTTACAGGTTTATATTTTCCTCTACTCCCAGCAGAAGGCTAATGTTACACATTAGATACGACCGCTCAGAAGCAAAGGCTGTCAACACTCATTTTAAAAACCTGTCTTAATTTTATGTTTATAACTGATGAGTGCCCTCAGCACAATACAAATTTTAAAATAATTGTGACTTTTTTGTTATTTTAATGAGTCAACCTTTTCTCATGCACGCACACACTCTTACTAGTAAAACCACATGCACTGCTGCTAAAAGCAAAGAACCCAATTAGCTTAGCTAGACTCAAAAACTCATGAATTTCAAACAGAATAAAGACCTTTTAAGTCCTGAGAAAGTCAGATATCCATAGGATGTCTTGGAAGCACAATAGGTTGTCTGAAATTATCTCATGTTCATCCACTAGAGTTATGGGTTTAAACAATGGTGATGTACAAGAAAGTAAGCAAAGGTCAGCTGAAGGATTCTTCATGTAATTCTCCTTCCCAGTAGGAAAGCAGACAAGCAGTCAAGCCTATATGCCAACTGCCAAATATACTGCAGTCATATGCGTAATTCTGGAGGGGCTGGCTTAGTGGCACAAACATCAGCTGTGCAATGCTTAGACTCTCTGGAACCACAGGTTAAAATCCTGGCAGGGTCAGCTGAAATTTTTAGCTTTCCAAGTTTGCTGAAGGAGTTTCACATATTGTCTGGGTGGAATCTTTGAAAAAAAATCTGAAATCAAGCTTCAAAGTGCTCTCATATAGATTGTGACTCCAATCACTTTGCAGAAAGAATAAAGATTTAGAACACAGTAAAGTGTTGGTTTTCTTTATCCTGAGAGTTCAACTTTATGTTTGTGACTTTTCCGTCAACTTTCCCTTGTAACTTACTCCTGTTTGTGAACAAAATAAGCTACAACTTTCTTAATATGTGTTTGAGTGTTCTTTTCTGGTAAGAATCATGCCCTTCTTTCAATGATTCACTGTGTTGGGGACTCTCAATATTAGCAATAGATAGGGGTCCATATATCTTATAAGCCAAACTCGAACAGTTTGGAGACTGAGAGAAAGTGCTATTATTATTTGTGCTGAAACAGAAATAAACAAGAATGTATGATCACTATGGTAACTCTAAAAGTTCAATCAATACTTGACCATTCCTTTTGAGGTTTTCACTGCATTTTATCATCATTAAAGTACACCTTCTTAGAAAAAAATAGCTTTCTATCTACCTAATCTAATTTTTCTGCTTTCCCGGTCAGTTATAAATTAGCAGGGATTTGAAATAAGCAGATCAGATGTCTGAAAGCAAGAGTGGATCCCACAAGCCAGAAATGGATCTTCTGCAACAGAGGCCGTACTCATTCCAAACCAGCCTGTCTGCTTAGAAACCAAAACCATCCCAACCAAAGATTGTCACTGGCCTCCCATTAATTCTATACTTTTTTTCTGTACCCAGGGTTATTTTTCTTTTATTTATTTTAAACTATAAGCCACAAAACATTTGCATGCAGCCAATCAGAAACAAATACTGTTTTAAAGAAAGCTAAAAGTTGGTGCCCTTGCAAGTAGCTTTATCTAAAATATAACATGAAATGTACATATTTATTTTCCATAAAATAGTTATGCCTAGATCAGAAAACAATTCACAGAAGTTAGTGGTTATAAATGTATAGTAGAAGGTAACAATGTAAATTTTATTAACTTAATCAGACAATATTTCATGTGGAAGATTAGATCAACTAAGAGATAAATCAATCCGATATGATTAAATAAACAATTTGTTGCCTATTTTTTAAATTCTATTATACTTACCAAAGGTCAGTGGGATTGTAATAACAAGAAATATTCCAACTATAATACTAAGTATGAAACTTGTTTCTGGTATCCAAAAATCATCTAATAATATAAATCAGAAAAAGAAATTAATTCATAGATAAAAGCTAAGTAGCCCCAGCTCTACCTAAGCACACAGAGTAATATAGCAGAGCTAGCTATTACTGGATTTTTGCAAGCCAGTTGTTTGCTAGACAGTTGGTAGCTTGAAAGCATCCATACGGAGAGTGTTTATGCCGTGTGAAATCAAAATCAAGGTGCTTTTGCTTTTTTTGCAGAGAGCTAGTTTACCAACAAACCACTGGAATATACCCACTCAGTCTTGTACTTTAAAATGACTGAGGAAACATGTATATCTTTTTAATAAATTTAGGACCAAGAAATCTCAGTCTTTGTATACTAAATAGTTGACACTATTATTTTGTATAATATCTTCATACATATTCAATTTCATGGATATTAAACTGAGGAACAAACATGGTAATTTCTCTTAGGAGTTTCAGTTGTGTAGAGGAAACAAACATGTAGACCAGAGTCTGGCAAACTATGGCCTGAGGACCAAATCTGGCTATAGCCTGATTTTGTACCCCCCATTAGCTATGAATAAGTTTTACATTTTTAAAGTGTTATTTTTAAGAAGAAGGAGAAGGAAAAAGAGAAGAAGAGAAAAAGACGAAAAGAAGAACATGCTACAGAGATCATATGTAGCTTGCAAAGTCTAACATATTTACTATTTGCTTCTTTTCAGAAAAAGTTTGCTGAGCTGGGTAGCAAACTTTTATACACAACTAACTAGATAACTAACTATAATATAAATAAGAATAATATAAGTTTCATGTAGCATGTGAGTGTATAAAATGCAGTAATTCATTTGACTAAGGAGCATCAGGTAAGCATTATGATGAGTTCATTTAAGTTAAGTCTTGAAGGATGAGAAGAATTTCAACTGGCAGAAAATAAAGGATAGGAAATCACAGCTAAGGGGCACAGGGTCGGTGGTGTGGACCTGTATTATAGGCTGAGGCAAACACAGGGCCAAAGACTAAGTGACATAAAAACTTTTTACTGGTCTGATATGGCTACAGCACAAACATAAATATTGGAAAAGATAAACCACAATTGTAGGATAAATTACGGAAGACCTTACATGCCACAAAGAAGTTTGTAGCTGATTCTGAAAGCAGTGAATGGAGAGCCATTGTGGGTATTTCAGAGAGGGGTTAAGTAATCCAGCTTGTGCTTCAAATAGATTAACTGTCAGCAGTATGCATAAGCCAAGGACACAGGCAATAAATGATACCTTAAATTAGGAAAGCCAAGGTAGAAAGAGGAAGATGAGAACTCATCAGAGAGAAATGAAGATGGTAAAATCAACAGGACCTGATGACTGAGTAGAGGGAAGAATCACATATGGCAGTGAGATTTCCTGCCTATGTGATAAGAAAGACAATATATCATAAACTAAAATAAAATACACAGTGGAAGAGGTAGATATTGGGTAAGAAACAAAGGTCTTAGGCCTGTTATGTATAATGTGAGAGTGGTCATAAGGCTGGTATAATGTGAATAGAATAATAAGGCTGGATAGAACAGATTGTGAACAGCCTTAGAAGCCTAATTAGGAGCATGGAATTGATGTGGTAGGAATTAAGAGGGTGGCTGATTATTATTGGGGAGAAAAATGACATGATGATAATGATGTTTTAGGAAGATCACATCACATGAATGGAATCGTTTAATAGTTTGGATAATAAGATATATATATATAGCCACCGTTATCTATTGCTAATGTTAAGAATGTACTGATATTTATTACTAAACCTTTAGGTAATAAGCTAGTGTGTAGACAGACATGGTAACATACCTCCAACTAATATAGTATTCTCACTGATTCCACTATATTCACCAAACCCTAGATTATTTGCCGCTACTACTCTGAACTGAAATATTCCTTTCAGGTTTTTGGACTTCCATGTGCAAATGCTACTGCAGGATCCATTAAATGTCATCTTCCACCTTAAATTCTGGTTCTGTAAATTTGAAGTGCTCTTTCTGCAAAAAATAATAAATACAGAAAATATACATGACAAGATACCTGTTATTTCTAGTTGTTCATAGATCTTCTTAGTGACTGAACTCCTGAGAGTGTCCTTTGGCACAGTTTACCCTTGACCTCATTCCTCTCCCATAATCTGGCAACACAGATGCTAACAGCATGGTTTTACCGTGATCCTAGTGAGGCATGGAGCCAATTAACTCAGCCCACCAAGAAAGCTGTAAGTAATCCGTAGTCAAGAGAGAGCTGAGTACCCTTTTCCTACTAACAGTAAGGGGAAACTTTCTCCAGAATTCCAAACCTATAAGAAAATTATTACATGATTTTTAACTGGGAAGTTTCCATTTTCTCAATCTCCAGTCTTTTACATTATTTGTAGTTTACTTATGCCATAGTTCAATAAAATACAGAATACAAAATTGATAAGGAAAAGTGTGACAGTTCAGCTACCAAAGTTATCATTATATCTGAGATTCTGAGGCTTGTTGCTTCTTTTTGTATTGACCTACATTCCACCTCAAAGTCAATCCAATTGTTTTTCATTTGAAACATGGAAAGAGCACAAGGGCTGGGTTCAAAAGACATAACTGGAATGACTTTTCACAGAATCATCAAAGGCAAGCTCAAGGTCTTCCATTTATGTCTTCTCTAACAATGAAGAACATTTCAGGTCTGAAACTTTTCAGACCGCAATAGTTTTAGGGCTTGGTGCCAATTCGCAGTAAGGTTAGGGGTATGCGGGAGAATCTGGTTCTGTTCCTGCTAATTGACTCAACCTTCTGAAGACCGACAGAGAGTGAGGGCTGGCCCTCATAAGAGGCAGGGAACGGGTAAGAACATCGGGAGCAGCAGGGCAGCAGAGTTGGTCACAGCTGTTCCCAGGAGCTGAGGGTCTCTTTAAGGACCATCCTGAGCAAAGCATTAGGACAGAGTGTTTTTACACATTTTGTGAAGTCTCACCTTTAGCACTGGCCATTTCATTGTTTAACCAAACAACTCTGATCCAAAAGAAAGAGGCCCTTGAGAATTTGTGAAGTGGCTCTACACAATGGCCATTGAGAAAAGAAGGAAGAATTTTGATGTTGGTTGAGCACCTTCTATTTACAACATACTGTACTGGGGCTTTACATAATGTTGTTTTCATTCACTGAGTCCACAATAGCCTAAAGAGGTGAGATAGATATTATCATCCTCATTTTACAGATGAGGAAACTTACGTTCAAAAAAGGAAAAGAACAAGGATTTAAACATGGTTTGTGTACTGGATTGAGTCATGTCCTCCCAAAATTCATGCCCATTCAGAATATTTTAAAGTGACCTTATTTGGAAATAAGATCTTGACAAATGTAATCGAGTTAAGATGAGGTCATAGTAGTTTAGGATGGACCCTAATCCAATGACTGGCACTTGCATAAGAAGAGGGAAATTTGGACACATAGAAAACCTTGTGATGCAGGAGGTGATGATGACAATGACGCATCTACAAGCCAAGGAATACCAAGGACTGCCAGCAAATGCCAGAAGCTAAGAGGCAAAGATGGACCTGCCCTAGAACCATCAGAACAAGCAGTCCTGCTGATACCTTGGTTTCAGACTTCCAACCTCTAAAGCTGTCTACTGTTTCAAGCCACCCAGTTGGTGGTCCTTTATTGTGGCAACCTTGGAAACTAATAAGGCTTGTTCAACTCCCAAGTTCATGCACTTTGCATTTCCACTACCCTGTCAGTGAGTACACAGAGTCTAACTAGTGTCCTGACTGAAGGACTTATTTTGAGATACTGAAGTTACAACAATGATTCAGTCATCTTATAGTCCATGTCCTGACAGTGGAGACCTGGAGCAAGGAGTATGCAAAGTATTTAGATGGAGTCATTTTAGTAGCACTTAAGGTGTTACTCAGGGTAACACACTAAAGAGGTCCTAGCAAAAACCTGATGTGTGACCTGACTGATGAACATCATTACAGTCACAAACCACCAAGACAGTTCTGCAGGTTAGAATGTATTTCACTCTGCATGAAAAGCAGTAACAGAAACTTCAAGGAGGTTTCAATTAGAAATAAGGGCCAAGGGAATTCTCTAGTATGAACAGGAACATTTTTTAAGGTTATGGGAATGCCAGAGACAGATGAAGCAAAAATAGATCAAAGATCAAGTTGCCAGGACTATAATTATGGAAGTGACTTTTGTCCTTGGAACTTCTTAAAAGATGGTTTCATAGTCCTGTGAGAGGAGTGTCTTTGGAATTTGGAATTCTCCCCTCAAGTTGGCATGAAATCAGTCCTTCTGAGCCAGTTATGGTTCACGCGCTCCCCATACTGGCCAGGTCTGAGGCTGTTCATCAGTGGCTGGTTTTCATCGATGGTGTGTTTTCAGTCCCTGGGAACACACTGCAAACTGTAATCTTCACAATGAATTGAGAATCCTGTGTGACCTCTATGCTTCAGACAATTTCAGAACCTGACCTAATTTTACAGTATGAAAAATACCTACTTCATCACCGATTCTCACTAGACAGTATTCACCTTGCTAAAGCAAATTATCCTCAGGAATGTACACACCATCATCATTTAACATTAAACATCAGCTAAGCTTTTTAAACAAAACTGATATTAAGTAAATATTGGTTGCATGAGCCTATGATCAAACAATTTCCATAAAGTGTCAATGAGCAGTTAGAGATTTCTGAGAATGATGTGATCTGTTTTATAATTAGCATGCCAAGACCAACCTCTAGGAATTGAGCATAGAACATAATGATGCATGTGAGTCCTTAAACTAAAGATCTTTGTGTTTATATGTAAATACATTTGCACAAATAGTGTTACTTTTTATTACTTTATCTTCTTAGTTCTTTGTCATTTACAAGTACTTTGCAAATACACATACCTTATCTCAAGGATATAGTATATAATTCTACATCCATTATCTTCAGCTTTCTCCCACTGTATTGAATTTTTACTCCCTTCCAGTAATTTGGGAATGCCTGGTTTACCTGGGACTCCAGCTTTGGGGGGAAAAAAAGAAAATATTGATTTGATATGTTTGAAGTATTAATCTTCTGCATTGAAATCTTCCTGTAGAATATATTAAGAGGAAAGATAAATAACATTAAAGAAATATTCAGAGAGGCAGGGCCAAGATGGCCGACTAGAAGCAACTGTGTTCAGAGGTTCCTGTTGAAAAAAACCATAATAAGTATGTGAATCCTTCACTGGCAACCAAGGTATCTAGATTCGCTCATCAAAATTGACTAGAAGGCTAGCGTGACCCACAGAGCGAAGGAAGAGCAGTGAGCCCACCTGAGAACCACACGGTTCTTGGCTGGAACCCCCTCCCTCCAGCCAAGGGGAGCAGGGAGTTAGCATGCTACCCAGCCAGGGAAACTGTGCGTTTTCCACAGAACTGTGCAACCCATGGATTGGAAGATCCCACTCGCAAACCCACGCCACCAGGGCCTAGCGTTCCAACCCTAGAATATGCAGATTCTTATGGCCTCTCAGCTGGAATCTGCTTAAGCCTACTGAACTCCCTGGGGGAGGGATGACCAGCACAGGCTTCTGCTGTCTGCTGTCTAAGCCCTTTGAGCTCCTTGGGGGAGGGGCAGCAGCCAGCACTGGGACTCCCAGCTGCCTAACACGCTAATCTCCCTGGGAGGATCAGATGCATGACCTGACATTGTGCTTCTGTGCTTCAGAAGATGGGTAGTAATGCAGCATGGGGGAAATGCAGCATCCATTTCTATAGCTCCAGGCTGTGCTTTTCCCCTGCTGGAGTCAGCGAGGCTGGTCAGCTTGGTCCCAAGACTTGTCACAGCCTAACACACCATCTGTGGTAGTCAGCGGCCAGAGCCTCCTCAGGTCTAACACTGACCCATCCTTCCTCAGTGGGTGGGGCTTCCCTGCAGGATCTCTAATAACTCCAGCCAGAGGCTCAGGGACAGAATCCAGATCTCCCTGGGCCTGAGCCCTTAGGGGTAGGGGTGGCTGCAGTCTCTGTGGACCAGCAGACTTAGCCTCTCCTCCTGGTAGTTCTGAGGAATCTGGGAAGCCCAGACAAGTGGGCTTCCCCGCAGCAAAACACACCCTCTCCACCAGGGGACAAAGTGCTTCGTTAAACGGGTCATGCTCCTGGTGCCACACAACTGGGTGAGACCCTCCAGTAGGGATTGTCAGGACACTCTACACAGGAGTGATCCTACTGGCATCAGGATGGTGCCCCTTGAGGTCAGAGGTCCCAGAAGAAGGAGCAGACACCCATTTTTGCTGCTCTCCGGCCTCTTTGAGTTACATATCCAGGCGTGAGAGCAAATCAGATGAATAAGGCCTAAAGTGAACCCCAGAAAACTGAAGCAGCCCTACAGAAGAGGGATCTGACTATTGAAAGAAAAACAAACAAGCAGAAAGTGACAACAACTGCATCAACAACAACAACAACAAGAGCCCCCACAAAAAGTCCATTTAAGGGTCAGCAGCCTCAAAGACCATAACTAGACAAACTCACAAAGATGAGAAAGAATCAATGAAAAAAATGCTGAAAACCGAAAAGACTAGAGTGCCTCTTCTCCTCCAAATGATCACAATGTCTCCATCAAGGGTGCAGAACTGGGCGGAGGATCAGGTGAATGAACTGACAGAAGTAGGCTTCAGAAAATGGGTAGTAAAAAACTGTAAAACTATGATGAGCTAAAGGAGCATGTTCTAACCTAACGCGAAGAAGCTAAGAACCTTGATAAAAAGTTGGAGGAATTGCTAACTAGAATAACCAGTTTAGAGAGGAACATAAACGGCCTGATGGAGCTGAAAAACACAGCACAAGAACTTCATGAAGCATACACAAGTGTCAACAGCTGAATTGACCAAGTGGAAGAAAAGATACCAGACTTTGAAGGCCACCTTATTGAAATAAGACATGCTGACAAGAAGAGAGAAAAAAGAATGAAAAAAGCCTACAGGAAATATGAGACTTCATAAAAACTGAACCTATGGTAGCTTGGAGTACCAGAAGGAGATGGAGAAAATGGAAACAAACTAGAAAACACACTTCGGGATATTATCCAGGAGAACTTCCCCAACCTAGCAAGACAGGCCAACATGCAAATTTGGCAAACACAGAGAACACCATTAAGATACTCCATGAGAAGATCAACCCTAAGACACATAATCATCAGATTCTCCAAGGTTGAAATCAAGTAAAATTTGTTAAGGGCAGTCAGAGAGAAAGGCCAGGACACCTACAAAGGGAAGCCCATCAGACTAACAGTGGACCTGTCAACATAAACCCTACAAGCCAGAAGAGACTGGAGGCAAATATTCAACATTCTAAAGAAAAGAATTTTCAACCCAGAATTTCATATCCAGCCAAACTAAGCTTCATAAGTGAAGGAGAAATAAAATCCTTTCCAGACAAACAAATGCTGAGGGATTTTGTTACTACCAGGCCTGCCCTGCAAGAGCTCCTGAAATAATCACTAAATATAGAAAGGAAAAACCGTTACCAGCCATTGCAAAAACACACCAAAGTATAAAGATCAATGACACTACAAAGAAACTGCACCAACTAGCACGCAAAATAACAAAATAGCATCATGGTGACAGGATCAAACTCACATAACAATACCTATCTTAAATGTAAATGGGTTAAATGCCCCAATTAAAAGATACAGATTTGCAAATTGGATAAGGAGTCAAGACCCTTTGGTGTGTTGCATTCAGGAGATCCATCTTACATGCAAAGACACACACAGGCTCAAAATAAAGGGATTGAGGAAAATTTACCAAGCAAATGGAAAGGAGAAAAAAAAAAAAAAAGCAGGGGTTGCAATCCTAGTCTCTGACAAAACAGACTTTAAACCAACAATTTTCAAAAAAGACAAAGAAGGGCATCATATAATGGTGAAGGGAACAATTCAACAAGAAGAGCTAAGTATTCTGAATATATACGCACCCAGTAAAAGAGCACCCAGACTCATAAAACAAGTTCTTAGAGACCTACAAAGAGACTTAGACTCCCACACAACAATAGTGGGAAACTTCAACACCCTACTGCCAATATTAGACAGATCAACAAGACAGAAAATTAACAAGGATATTCAGGACTTGAACTTAGCTCTGGATCAAGTGGACCTAGTATATGTCTATAGAACGTTCTAGCCCAAATCAACAGAATCTACATTCTTCTCATGCCACATAGTACTTATTCTAAAATCGACCACATAATTGGAAGTAAAACACTCCTCAGCAAATGTAAAAGAGCTGAAATCATGACAAACAGTCTCTCAGACCACAGTGCAATCAAACTGGAACCCAGGATTAAGAAACTCACTCAAAACCACACAATTTCATGGAAATTGAACAACCTGCTCCTGAATGGCTCCTGGGTAAATAATGAAACTAAGGCAGAAATAAATACATTCTTTGAAACAAATGAGAACAGAGACAATGTACCAGAATCTCTGGGACACAACTAAAGCAGTGTTAAGAGGAAAATTCATAGCGCTAAATGCCCACATTAGAAAGCCAGAAAGATCTAAAATCACCACCCTAACATCACAATTAAAAGAGCTAGAGAGGCAAGAGCCAACTATTCCAAAAGCTGGCAGAAGACAAGAAATAACTAAGATCAGAGAAGAATTGAAGGAGATAGAGACACAAAAAGCCCTCCAAAAAAATCAACCCATCCAGGAGCCATTTTTGTAAAAAAAATAAAACAAATAACAAAATAGACCACTAGCTAGACTAATAACAAAGAAGACAGAGAAGAATCAAGTAGACACAATAAGAAATGATAAAGGGGATATCACCACTGACCCCACAGAAATACAAACTACCACCAGACAATTCAATAAACTCCTCTATGCAAATAAACTAGAAAATCTAGAAGAAATGGATAAATTCCTGGATGCATACACCAAGACTAAACCAGGAAGAAGTTGAATCCCTGACTAGACCAGCAGCCAGCTCTGGAATGGAGGCAGTAATGAATAGCCTATCAACCAAAAAAAGCCCAAGACCAGATGGATTCACAGCTGAATTCTGCCAGGAATACAAAGAGGAGCTGGTACCATTCCTTCTGAAACTATTCCAAACAATGCAAAAGGAGGAATTCCTTCCTAACTCATTTTATGAAGCCAGCATCATCCTGATACCAAAACTGGGAAGAGACACGACAACAACAACAACAAACTTCAGGCCAATATACCTGATGAACATCGATGTAAAAATCCTCAATAAAATACTGGCAAACTGAATCCAGCAATATATCAAAAAACATATCCACCATGAACAAGTTGGCTTCATCCCTGGGATGCAAGGCTGGTTCAATATATGCAAATCAGTAAACATAATCCATCACATAAATAGAACCAAAGACAAAAATCACATGATTATCTCAATAGATGCAGAAAAGACCTTTGATAAAATTCAACATCAACATCTCTTTATGTTAAAAACTCTCAATAAACTAGGTACTGATGGAACATATCTCTAAATAATACGAGCTATTTATGACAAACCTACAGCCAATATCATATTGAATGAGCAAAACTTGGAAAAAATCCCTTTGAAAACAAGGATGTCCACTCTCACCACTCCTATTCAACATAGTATTGGAAGTTCTGGCTAGGGCAATCAGGCAAGAGGAAGAAATAAAGGGTATTCAAATAGGAAGAGAGGAAGTCAAGTTATCTCTGTTTGCAGATGACATGATTTTGTATTTAGAAAACCTCATCATCTCAGCCCAAAAACTTCTTGAACTGATAAGCAACTTCAGCAAAGTCTCAAGATAAAAAAATCAATGTGCAAAAATCACAAGCATTCCTTTACACCAACAATAGGCAAGCAGAGAGCCAAATTATGAATGAACTCCCATTCACAATAGCTACAAAGATAATAAAATACCTAGGAATACAGTTAACAAGCGATGTGAAGGACCTCTTCAAGGAAAACTACAAACCATTGCTCAAGGAAATAAGAAAGGACACAAACAGATGGAAAAACATTCCATCCCCACGGACAGGAATAATGAATATTGTGAAAATGGCCATTCTGCCCAGAGTAATTTATAAATTCAATGCTATTCTCATCTAACTACCACTGACATTCTACACAGAATTAGAAAAGCTATTTTAAATTTCACATGGAATCAAAGAAGACCCCATATAGCCAAGACAATCCTAAGCAAAAAGAACAAAGCTGGAGGCATCATGCTACCTGACTTCAAACTATACTGCAAGGCTACAGTAACCAAAACAGCATGGT